GGGGGGCAAGACCAGGTCACCAGGATCGGGCCAGGGACTGATGTCCCCAGTCACCGTAAAGCCACCAAAAGACCCCTCCCCATGAGCAGGGGACGGGAAGACCTCGCTTTTCCCCTCAAGGAGCTGTGGGTCGAGGGGCTCTATGGGGGCAGCTGACCCCAATAAGGTCCCTTCTCAGTGGGGGGACAGGGCCTGAGTCGTGGTCCCCGAGCCCTGTCCGTGAATTTGGGGCTTGCTTTTCCCTCCTGGCTCCGAGAGCAGCCACCAAAAGACCCCTCCCCATGAGCAGGGGACGGGAAGACCTCGCTTTTCCCCTCAAGGAGCTGTGGGTCGAGGGGCTCTATGGGGGCAGCTGACCCCAATAAGGTCCCTTCTCAGTGGGGGGACAGGGCCTGAGTCGTGGTCCCCGAGCCCTGTCCGTGAATTTGGGGCTTGCTTTTCCCTCCTGGCTCCGAGAGCCGCGCTCCGCTGAATTCCTGGTCGGCTTTAGCTCCCCGAAGTGCCCCGCCAGCTTGGCTGCCAAAATTGGGCGAGAAACCAGCGTTTCTGAGCAAGTTGGGCTCAGCCCGGAGCCGCGCATCCTCCGGGGTCATCAATATTAACCGTGACGATGCGCATGGGTTCCAGCCTGACTGCCGAGAAGGGATGCTGGGACTCGGAATGAGAAATTATGTTAATTGAGTTGATTATCCATTCATGTGTTTCCTCCCCGGCGGGTGCGATGATGCCGGCGTTGGGTCGTCTGGCTGCGGCCGTAATCCTCCGGTGAAGTTTCATGCTCCAGTTCCTCATCCGCAAAGGGGGAGAAGGCGGAGGAGGGGGGGGGGAATCCACAAAAGAGCAAAGCCCAGCCCTGAAAGCTGTCAGATCCGAGATGCTAAGGACAGAGCATGGAGGGTTTGTGTCCTCCCAGGCACCTCTGCTTCAATCCAGACTTCATTTTTTAAGCGTATGTAGGGCTCTGAAATGCATCAAATATTCACTGGCGCTTTGGGTCCTGCCTCTGCTTTCCCTGGGACTCGAGAAATGCTATTTTTACAATCCGCCTCCCAAATTTGCGCTGTATTTTAAGTAGCCTCGAGCTGACAATCCCGCTCGAGCCCTGGAGACCCGTGTCAAGATCATCCGTGCACGAGTCGCTGCGCCGGCGGCTGGAGGAGCTTTAATGCAAAGGCTGAGAGCCCTGGCAGCCATCCTGCTCCCGAAATATCTGTGGGGACGCGCTAGCTCCCCTCCCTGCTAACCCCAACCCGCTGTCCGCAGGGCTCGGTGGATTGCCCCAACCTGGAGTTCGAATACGGGGATACCGACGGCCACGCTGCCGAGTTAGCAGGTGAAGCGGCATTTTTTTGGGTACTGCGTTGCTGTTATAGGTGCCCGTTGGGGTGGAAAAAATAAAATAAAAAATATATAACCCTCGGGGAGTCGGGCGAGTGGGATGGGGGATGGATATCGAGTGGTATCGTCCTTGCGGTAACAGAGCAAGAGGGATTTATTAATAGACAGTCACTTGCTCCCCGGGGCTGAGAAAAAGGGGCACACGGGGGCACCGGGATTACCCCATGCTCTGAATTATTCGGGACATGATGACAGGCGTGCAGGGGGTGGGAGGACGGGTGGTGAAGTGTCACCCTTTATCGTGGGCGTCACAATGGGTCGAGTTCTTGTCCTGTATCTTCCAACTCCAGCTGCTTCTGCCCTGTAACCCTCGGGGTCCCCAGCATTGCTCAGCCAGCAAAGGGGTCGATTATTTTTAGCTGCATGTCCCTGAATAAAGCGCTTTTTTTTTCCTCGTGGGATCCTTCCTCCTCCCTTGGGACCATTTCAGTTCCCCATGGTGCTGCTCAGCACCGCAGGACCCTTAGGAATTATATAGGAAGTGGTAGGAATTATATAGGAACAACATCGTGCTCCTTCATGTCCAGTCCCTATTTGCAGGTCCCAAAATATCCGAGCCGCTGGGTGTGAAATCAAGTGCAGGTCTTTCCCGGGTGCTCCTGCAAGTCCTTCCCTTTGCAAACTGGTTTAACTGGGACAGAAAATTATCCATGAAATAACCCTATGAAATTGCAGCTGCAGCTCGAGCACCGTTGCTGTGGGCAGGGATGTGGGAACAGTCCCAGACATGGGGCTAAAAATGCTGAATTGGGTGGTTTCAAGATGCACCTTGAGTCTACAGAAGAGCTCAGGGATGAGCTTGGGACTCTGCCCCGCGTCCCCTCAGTTGCGTAGGGATTCCCTCAAGGAATTTGGTGATGATGAGGAGAGTGAAACCTTTTCGAGTCCTTGCTGACCCCTTTCTCCATCAGAGCTGTACAGCTACACCGAGGAGCACGAGCTCAGCACCAACAAGAGATGCTTCGAGGAGGATTTTCACGCTCAAGGTACCAGCTCTGGGCTCAGCACCCTGGGGCTTGGTGCAGGCCCCCCCAAGGAGGCACCCAACTGGTTCTTGTGTCCCCCTTTTCCAGTGCAGGGCAGGAGGTGGCTGGAGCTGGACGGGGCTCAGCAGAAGGCCTACGTCATGCGGCTGCTGGATGGGCTGGAGGTGGTCAACAGGGACAAGCGGCTCAAAGTGGCACGGGCCATCCTCTACCTGGCACAGGGTAAGAAACCCATCATCTACATCCGGATGCGGCTGCCTGGCTTCATCACAGGGGTTTGGGAGGAGCCTTCTCTTGGGATGCAGTGAAGCTCCTTCCTGGGATGGCCCCATGTGCTCCAGGGCTTCAAAGGCAACTCTCCCATAGCCACTGTCTCCCTTTGGGCCTCTCCAGGTGTTTTTGGAGACTGCGATAACGAAGGCGATGTCCTGCACTGGTCTCGGCACAACAGCTTCCTCCTGTACCAGCTGGGAACCTTCACTGCCTTTCTGGAGCTCCTCAACATGGAGATCGAGTGAGAGGACCCGCACTGCCCTTTCCCTCCTCACCCTCACCTTTTTCGTCTTCTTTCTCCCCATCCTCCTCACCCTCTTCTTCTACCCTCCTTGCCCTCCTCTTCATCCTCTTTGTACCCATCCTTCTTGCTCTCTTCTTTCATCCTCCTCACTCACCTCCTCTTCATCTTCTTTCTCACATTCATTGCTCTCTTCTTCCATCCTCCTCGCCCTCCTCATCTTCTTTCTCACTGTCCTCCTCACCTTCTTATTCCATCCTCCTCATCTTCCTCCTCTTCATCTTCTTTCTCACCATCCTCCTCACCCTCTTATTTCATCCTCCTCAGTGTCCTCACCCTTTGCTTCTTCGCTTTCTTTCTTCTCATCCTCCTTGCTCTTTTCTTCCATCCTCCTCACCCTCCTCCTCTTTACCTTCTTCATACCCATCCTTCTTGCCCTCTTCTTTCTCCTTCCTCCTCCTCCTCTCCTCCCTCCTCCTCCTCACCGAGGACCAGGGAGGTGCTGCAGACACAGCATGGCCCCGAGCGCGGTGTTTCCACTGCAGCAGACATAGGCTGGGGGTCGGGGCAAGGAGTAGCCCATGCCCAGTGGCTGTTACTGAGCTCGTCCCCTTCCCCGCAGCAACAGCCAGGCCTGCAGCAGCGCCCTGAGGAAGCCGGCCATCTCGCTGGCTGACAGCACGGAGCTCAGGTACCTCCTTCTCTGTCCATGTTAACACAGCAGGTGGAGGCTATGGGACAGCCTCTGGGGACAAAGTGACCTCTGGCTGGCAGCATCATCTGTTTGCCGTGGTGTCCTGGCAGGGTGCTGCTCAGTGTCATGTACCTGATGGTGGAGAACATCCGTGTGGAGCAGGAGGCGGATCCCCCCGAGTGGAAAACCTGCCGGGAGACCTTCAGGATGGAGCTGAGTGAGCCACAGAGTTCGTTGTGCCCCAGAGAGGTCCCTTTGTTGTGCTGGACCAGCGAGGAGACCTCAGGGAGGGGGGATCTGCTCTGAACCTGCTCCTGGTCCCTCTCTCCACCAGGTTTCCCCGTGCACACCGACGAGCCATTTGCTCTTCTGCTCTTCACGATGGTGACCAAGTTCTGCAGTGGCCATGCTCCACATTTCCCCATGAAGAAGGTCCTGCTCCTGCTCTGGAAGGTGCTTCTGGTGGGTGCAAACCCTTCTTCTTTCCAGAAAGTGGTCATTTTGGGAATAGTGCTGATGCAGCCAGGACATTCCCCACTATTCAAACCAACCATAACAAGGTTATTTAGGATGGCAGAGGAGGCTGGCACAAGACAAACAGTTTCTTCTGGGATGAGGGTGGGTTGAGCCATGCAGAGGACATGAGGTGGGGGATGAACCAGTGACGTGGTTTCTCCATCGTCAACTCTCCAGTTTGGTGGCCCTGGAAGCCCTGAAGAGCCACGCAGTCCAGGTGAGATGTCTGCTCCCCACTCTCTCACCTCTCTTGCTGGTCCCTAGTTCACGCTGGGTGGATTTGAAGCCCTGCAGACGATGAAGGTGAGGAAGAGGGAAGAGTTGGGGCTGCCGCCCTTGCCGGAGGACAGCATCCAGGTGATGCGCAGCATGCGCGCCGCCTCACCTCCCACCTACTCCATCGAGCTCATGGAGCAGCAGCAGCAGCAGCAGAAGCGCGGTCACCGCAGCCGGCGGGTAGGTGCGGGCTCATCCTCCTGGCAGATGGCCCAGGATGCTTTTCCAGTGGGGACCATCATCTGTTCAAGGAGCCAGCCTGTGCTCAGGAGTGTATTTCCCTTTCCACCCCAAGTGCTCATGCGTTTTGCAGTTTCATAGAATCACGGAATGGTTTGGGTTAGAAGGGACCTTTCAAGCTCATCCAGTCCAACCCCAACCAGTCCAACACCTCTGCAATGAGCAGGGACATCTTCACCTCAGTCAGGTTGCTCAGAGCCCCATCCAACCTGGCCTTGAACACTTCCAAGGATGGAGCATCTACCACCTCCCTGGGCAACCTGTGCCAGTGTTTCACCACTCTCAGCATAAAAAATATATTCCTTTTACCTAGTCTTAATCTTCCCCTCTTTTAGTTTAAAACTCTTTGTCCTATTGCAACAGGCCCTAGTAAAAAGTCTGTCCCAATCTTTCTTATAAGCCCCCTTTAAGTATTGAAAGGCCATAATAAGGTCTCGCCAGAGCTTTCTCTTCTTAAGACTGAACAACCCCAACTCTCTCAGCTGTCTTTGTAGCAGAGCTGCTCCAGTCCCTGAGCATCTCTATGGCCTCCTCTGGATCCACTCCAACAGCTCCATGGCCTTCTCATGTTGGGGGCCCCAGAACTGGATGCAGCACTGCAAGTGGGGCAGAGCAGAGCAGAGCAGAGGGGCAGAATCCCCTCCCTGGCCCTGCTGGCCATGCTTCTTGTGATGCAGCCCAGGATGGGGTTGGTTTCTGGGCTGTGAGCGCACATTGCTGGCTCATGTTGAGTTTTTTTTATCCACCAATTTCAGTTGCGGAAGATCAGCCCCACAATGCATTTGACCCAGAGGAAGTGAGAGGGCATCCTGACCCTACGGCAAAGGGCTGATAAGCGCCTGGTAGCAAACCACTCTCAGCTAGCTTGTCTTTTTTCAGCTCAACTCCTGGAGTTACTGCGTTATGGCCAGAGGATGAAAACACCTCTTTTGCTAGGGAAGCGATGTTGGGTTGTAGCTCTAAAAATTAAGATGGAAAATGGGGTCACACCTCAAGGTTAGAGGTACAGAGGGGGTTGTTCCTTGTCCAGACTTTGGTGGGAACAGCTGGGAGGGAAATCCTCACCTGAGGATCATCTGAGTGCTTGATCCTTCCAGGAGGGAAAGGTTTGGTAGGGAAATGAAATCCATGGAGTGACTTGAATTTCTCCTTCCCCTTCTGCTGCAGCCCCTGGTAAAGCAAGACAGTTTGGATATCTACAACGAAAGAGACCCCTTTAAGAATGATGAAGCAGGAGTTGATGAAGAGGAGAACGATGACGTGGAGAGCGGGATCGAGGGGGAACTGGACCTGATGGAGCGGGACACGATTATCCCCGCTATGCCTGCTCAGCGCCCGCCTATTGAAAGGGTGTCATTCCCCAAAGGGCTTCCCTGGGCCCCCAAAGTCAGGTAAAAACATCTGGTTTCATTGCCATCCCACCCAGTCTTATCAATTACCTCTCCTGGAGTTCCTTGCAGGCTGAACATCAGTCTGCGGTGAGTTTGTTGGCCTCTGGCAAGTTGAACTGAAGTGACTCCACTTCTTTTTTTTTTTTTTGTTTTGGTTGGTCCTTTCTGGATTGGATTTAGCTGAGCCCTTCCCCAAGCTTTGCAAACCAAGTGTGGCCAAGCTTGACTGACAAGTGGCAATCCCATTTTTGGAAATCCCAGGTTGTACTGGGAAGGAGGTTTGTGCTGGGACGCTGTGGGAGCAGGGACCATGGAGTGGGAGCTGGGTCAGCTTTCCCAACCACCACCAGTGGATCTTGGTAGGGCAACGTCCTAGACTTATCATCTTGGGAACTGATGGTTAATGACATCGCCTCTTGCTTGTTGAGTGGGACTCTGGTGTTGCCATTGAAGCCTTGCTCTAAGGTGAGAAATTGGTGAAAAACATCTGAGGATAAAGTTGTTGGTGATTTTCCTTCCTAAGACCAGTTCTGCTACACATGATATAGGGGAGGGTTAAGAAAAGAGGGTGAAATTCTCTTTCCGCTTCCCTCTAATCCATGTGTGTTTTTTTGCTGTTGATCCGAAGTCTGAATTTAATCCAGGACCTTTAAAACACAGGAGCAAATACATCTTTTCAATGTGGGAGCTGTGACAGGGTTAAGTGTGTTTATTCAGAGCACTCCTCACAGGGACACGGCAAGAACTGGTTTCCCACGTGGGTCTCCGCGCACATGGTGCCATCGTACCCCACATAACTTAATGCGCTCAGCATCAAAATCAAATGGCCATTGTTTTCCTTGGCTGCTGCCTTGCAAATCCAGCTGGGTTTCTTTTGGCCAGTGAGAGCCTTGGCTCACAGTTCATGTCTTACTTGTAGCACTGAGACCCTGACCAGTTCTCATGAAAGATGCCCAAGACGGGCGAGATGTCGGCTTGGTCTCTCGGAGCAGCACGTGCTCCGCCAGACTGCAGAGATGACATTTGTTTGTGCAAAGTGAGCAGATGCCACTTGAAGATGTGTGTGCTAGGAGCACATAAGGTGGATAAAAAAGCACTGGTTGTATATGACTCCTCTCCATTTATTTCATAGAATTGTAGAGTACTGTGTTCAGCTCTGGGGCTCCCAACATCAGAAGGCCATGGAGCTGTTGGAATCCAGAGGAGGCCACGTTGATGCTGAGGGGCTGGAGCAGCTCTGCTCTGGAGACAGCTGAGAGAGTTGGGGGTGTTCAGCCTGGAGAAGAGAAGGCTCCAGGGGGACCTTTCAGTACTTGAAGGGAGCCTATGGGAAAGCTGGGGAGGGACTATTTAACAGGGAGTGTAGTGGTAGGACGAGGAGTAATGGTTTCAAACTGAAAGAGGGGAGATCAGATACTAGGAAGAAATTCTAGGGTGGTGAGGCCTTGGCCCAGGTTGCTCAGAGAAGCTGTGGGTGCCCCCTCCCTGGCAGTGCCCAAGCCCAGGTTGGATGGGGCTTGGAGCAGCCTGGGCTGGTGGAAGGTGACCCATCTGCCCACTTCCCATGGTCTTCCACAGCAAATACAAATGGTTTTAGTTCACTTTGCTCCTGACCTACAAGAGCAATGGTGGCTCTAGCCACCTGCTATCAAGCCCTCTAGAAATCAATCCTAGAAAGCTCAAAAGTTCATGCTGGTCTCATGCTGCTGTCCTTTCTGAGAAATGTAGGCTGTGATCTGGTATATGTCTGTTTTCCAACCTTCTCCTTGGTTTTTTTTTTCTCTGCTGCTCCATCAGACAAAAAGACATCGAGCATTTCCTGGAAGCAAGCAGGAACAAATTCATCGGATTCACGCTGGGACAGTGAGTGTTGCGTGTGGAGGTCCAACAAAGTCTGCCCCACAGCTCCCATGAGTGCAATTTAACTGGCAGGAAGTGTCCACAGAGCTCAGGTTTTCTCGACTCAACCAGCCTGAGGTGTGCTCAGGATGATGTGGCGCAGCGCTGAATTTCACTGGGGCTGCAGCATTGCACTCGGCGCTATGAAAACATGTTATTGGAGATGCTGGTCTCCAAGGACCTCTTTCTATTAAAAATCAGACCTAGCCCAGAATAAGTGACCCCTGGCCCAAGCCAGAAAGCGGTTTGATGTGGGAGGGAGTCAGGATCAGCTGGTATCCACAGCAAATCACCCAGTTTGTGAATAAATCAAGCCATGGGTGCAGAGTCATCCCAGCAGGATATATCTGGGGTTAGGTGTGGTGCTGGGCTCAAGTTGGTTTCATATAGAGACCTGATTTCACCCCAGTTCCTCACCCCAATGTCTCCCCTCTCTGTGCAGGCTCTGCTGGGGAGGAAGTGGGAGGGTGGGCAGCTCACGCTGAGACCTCCCCCAACCCCTGACCCATCTGGGATGTGTTCAGCAGTCTCAGTAGACTACAGGCTCCCTATTTTACCTTGAATGAGATGGAAATGTTTAAACCCAGATCTCCTCAGCTTCATACTTACCTTCTTTCATCCCCCACAGAGACACCGAAACCCTGATAGGGCTACCACGGCCAATCCATGAAAGCGTGAAGACACTGAAGCAGGTGAGATGGTGGCTCCACGTGTGGTGCTTGGATGAAGCAGTCCAGAAAGCCCTGCTGAGCGGCAATCTAACCTCATCTAACCTCATCCCTTGCTATTTTCACTCCCTGGCAATCAGCAAATGCTCTGAGATGGGATTGGACCCCTGGGAATCTCATGGAAGCAGGAAAATCTTTGGCCAAGATCACCAGGGCCACAGGGAGTTTCCAAGGCATTAAGTCTCATACACATAAACTTGATGATAGAGCACTTATAAGAAGTTTCAAGTTCCTCAGACATATGCTCTCAGCTCATAGTAAATATTTCATGTGAATTTACTCTTCTGTGCCTCTTCAGCAATGTGTTCAGTCTGAGCTCTTGCTCTCTCTGCCTTGGGAAGTCAATCTGATGAATGCAGTCAGGGTCTAAACAGCTCAAGAGGGGCTGGATATTCACATGTGGTGAGGGATCCTCATGTCTGATGTCCAGCTGAAACACAGTTACTGAAGGGAGTAAGAGGGTCCCCTCTTGTTAATTGTTGTGGAAAAGCTTCTGGAACTTCCTGCAGGAATTGGAGCAAAAAAACGGAAAACCAGGCCCTCACTGCAATTCCAAGTAGATTGTCCAGCACTTGGACTTTCTCTTTACCCAAGGTGTAGCATTGCTTTGTCCTGGTGAGCATTTGCCACGTGCTTTGATGGTGACAGACTTTCAGAGTTGGGTCCCCAGACCTGTGCTGTTCCCAGGGGGAATCATGGCCAGCCTTGGCTCCTGCAGTGCTCCATGTGGTGTGAGATTCCTCCAGAGTCCTGACCCTATCAAAGGTCTGGATTGCCTTCTGTAGGTGATTGTTCCTCTCCATTTACTTACAGAGAGATCCTAGAAGGAGTAGGTAGAAGTAATCAAAGATGTGATGTGTGAGGAGCTTCAGGGACAGTGGGATGTCCCACACAAAGATGAGTTCTCCGTGTATCTGCTGTGGCCTATACACCTAACTCAGATATTACTGAAACCAGCAAATGTTGTTATCACTGACTGTGTTTCATCCTTCAGTTGTGATACTGCTCTACCTCTGTCTCTGTATTTTGCCAGCACAAGTACATTTCCATCTCGGATGTCCAGATCAAGAACGAGGAGGAGCTGGAGAAGTGCCCCATGTCTCTGGTAAGAAGTTTCTGCTCCCCATCACTAGATAGATGTGTGGAAGATTTCCAAGGTGTCATAGAAATCCATACGTTCTCTGTGATCCTTAGGATGCTCTTTTTGCTAAAACACCGTATCTTGATCAAATGTAGCAGTGGAGAAAGGTCTGGAGCTTCCTGCTGTCAGCATGAAGCTATGCCCGTCATTAAGTCCTCAAGCTGGGTTTTATGGAGGTGACTGATGTATCTCAACTGTGTGGACTGGAAATACCTGATTTCCCTTGTTTCGAATGTTTTTCTATGCTAGGGGGAAGAGGAAGTCCAAGAAACCCCTTGTGAGATCTTGTATCGAGCAATGTTGTACAATCTCCCCCAGTATATGGTAAGCCTGCAATTCTTGAAAGTGAAGAGCTTTTGAGTGGGCAATGGTGTCAATCTGTGAGCTGCAGAGCTCAGCGTGGGGCTGCTGGGGTATGCTCAGGACTTGAATGGTGAGATTTGGGTAAGAATCCGGAGCAGAGTTGGCTGGAAAGTACAGTCCAAGGGGAGGGATTCAGAGGATCAAGGGGTGCGGATACACAGGGGCTTGGTCAAACAGTTGGAGACAGGTGAGTGGATGGAAAACAGGATGTGTGCAAAGGATTTGGAAGAAGGAACAAAGTCCTCCACATTGGTGGGAGCTCAAAATTGGCTCCTGCAGGACACCAAGGGAAACCAGTTGGAAATGGCCTTGTGTCATCTGAGCTACGTGAGCTGTAGTAATTACCAGCAAGTCATTGCACACTGATGCATCTTCACTTATGACCTCAAGAAGCAACCTGAGGACTTCACTGGTCCCTTGAGCTTTGCAGGGATTAACTTTCTGTTATGCTATGCTGATCTCTGAGCGTGATGGCTTGCTGGGCCAGGAACCAAATTAAACCATCATCGTGCTTTACGTGGCTCAGCAAACAAGGTGGTAACACCTTTAGGTCTCTGCCAACCTGACTGTGCTCTCAAACTGTGGAGAATCTGTAAGATATGACCTTCCTTACAGGGGTCTCCCTTGCAGCCTTCCCAGAGGATTCCCAGAGGACTACAAATGAGTGTCCTGAAATTCGGCTACGTTTAGATGCTAATTGGGTAACATGCAGTATATCCATAGGGAGAGGCAAACACAGATTTAAATGCACCAAGATCCTGGTGTATCTTGTGTTATTTTAACTGTACTACTAGAGCTCAGGTGCTTGTGAGGCCTGAAGTTAATGCTAAAACAGAGCTGCTGTGCTCCCCACACTTGGCCTGTCCATCCAGGGTATAAAAGGAAAAGTTGAGCTTTGACATAAGCAGTCCATGACAGTGAGCGGAGCTTGGGCTGGTGAAAACCTGTAGAGTTGGCTTGAAGTTGTCTGGTTTCAGCAAGTAAAGAAGGAAGGAATACCCCTTCCTGGGAGCATCCCTTCACGCCTGTCCTCCCCTGCAGATAGCTTTGCTGAAGATCCTCCTTGCCGCGGCGCCCACCTCCAAAGCCAAGACCGACTCCATCAACATCCTGGCAGATGTGTTGCCTGAAGAGATGCCGTAAGTCCCTTAGGAGGTGGCCACCAGCCATCTTAGCTTTGCCACGAAGTCTTGGGCCAAGCAGGAGAGTTGGGGTTTACCAATAGGTTCAGGGAGACTCAAGATTTGAGTATGTCTCTTTGGATAGGTGCAAGCTATTGCTGCCACCAGGACAGAGGGGTGAAAGCTGAGGAAATGATGCTGGTTGCATTCCCCTGGCTGCAGGGAATAATTTAATGAAATA